TAGTCTGTATCTCCGAAACTATTGCTAGGATCAACTTGAATTTAGGACAATATTCTAGAGGTGTTATAGACTTTAGTAAGATAATAAAAAATAATCGATTTATTGAAACCCGTAAACCCACGTAACCCCTTAAGAATAGTCCATCTAAAATTTTAGTTTAAACTCAAAAGTTTCAAAAAAATACACCAAGGTAAGACAAATATCTAAACTATAGAACTTGTCGGTTAAAATGGCGTAAAGATGGAATTTTGTCTTCTCAAAGCTTTTACGTACATTTCAATTGAAAAAAGTACCCCTCAAAAGTTATGGAAAGCTTTAAATGCACATGTGAAATTTTTTTCTCTGCATGTATGTTGGTTCATTTAACAAATAAATTCGATAGATTTTTTTTTGCTCACCCTACTATATAAATATCAATGGAGAAACCGACGTGCCTTTGACATGTAAATATGTACCATATATTGATTCAGTTAGCTAGAAAAACCAGTTGATGACAAATCTATAGCTTTTTCACTTTTGCTATGTTAATGTGATTGAGAATATTCCTAAACACATAAATGCACATACATATGTACATATCTATTTAACTGGAAATATGTGGTCACTGTTAGCAAAGTATCTATGAAGATTGTAATGATTTGAGGAAAGCTTTTAGCACTCCGATTTGTCAACAAGCCCATTATTCGCTAATATTTCCTGCTTGGAGGCAGTACTACAATATTAAAAAGAAATTTTACAAAAAAAAAAAAATTAATAATACATTAATGTACCTGTACATATGTATGTACATGCATATTCAATAAAAGAGGGAAAAGAAAATAGGAAAAATAGGAAATCCGTAGAAAATAGTTTCAGAAAAATTTACCAATTAATTTTGGTTGGATTGTGGTTCGTACTGAAGGTTAATTTAAAGCATCAGCCTAAATGTAGGCAAAATTTTATATATTTAGATCATATAATCTACAATTTTTCCACTTTAAATGGAATTAAAAATTGACAGAAAATATAAAATTATTGTAAGTTGTAAGAATGTTCTTAAAATTCCATAATATATTTAAAAATAATTCTCGACCCAATTTTTTTTGCATCCTAAGAGAAGGTGACCTAATATAATACATAATTATTTTATTATTAAAGTACAATTTACATCACTTTATGTCCGAATTTTGGATTTCCCTTAGTTTATAATGCATTTATGCAATTGACTATGCGAATTTGTACAATTTTCTAGGAAATTAAATACAACAAAGTTGCTGGTGTAACTGTAAAATTATGTATATATGGATATATATACTATACTCACGCTGTAAGCTTAGGCATTTCATCACTTCCCACAAATTTTGCTTTACATTCAAACATTTTCATTCTGAACTTTTTTAACGAGGTAAAATTTTCAGAAATAAACACAAACAATAACAAAATAGCACCACCATAATTCTCAGATTTCCACTTGTGGTACAACAGAGCTACAACAACGATAATGCGCTGGCACAGCCAACTTCATTGACGGCAAAAAGCTTTGCGAAAATGTTTACCACATTTCATGCCAACACTTTTCAATGGATTTTAAAAAGGGATTTCTCGGCATTATGCACATTTCCGTGCTCGTGTACCACAAAAAAAAAAAAAAAAATTAAAGAAATAGTTTAGCGCAATGTTTAACACTATCGCAACGATTACGACACCATCTCCTCGCCGGCTTACAAACACACATATCTAATGGCTCTGCCTGACGCCACAGCTGTGGCACGCTGCTGCCAAAAGTTTCGTGTGCCACATACCGAAGTACGTATATTTGTATGTATATGTATGTAGTTTTTTGTTTGTTGCATGTCAGCTGGAAAGAGCTGAAGCACATGGTCGAACGACCAACTGGCGGACCAGGCGTCCAGCGAGCAAGCGTAGTACTCGAACTTCATGCAATGTTGTAAAATGTGTAAGCCTCTAGTGTGTATGTAAAACGTGCGATTTGGTGCCACACGTTGTATTACCTTGTATGCATACATATTTACATATGTAAATGAAAACATTTCCCACGTGGCATGTGGCATGCAAAAGTCCTCATATCACACCATTCACGCGATTCCGCACGACTGAATTTACCAACAGGGTTTATTGTTCATATGTAAACATTTGTTTTGCAATAACCAAGCCTTTTCTAAACGCAGTGCTACTTAAGTGCTACCTTTAAGTTTAGATATGAAATTAAATGTATCGAAACTGTGTTTTTGAAGGCGGATGGCAAGATTTTTCGAAAACTACTCAACCGATCTTCATAAAATTTTACACAGGTCAAATTAAATGGCGTCGCAAAAGCTTAAAATATGTTTTTTTATAATAATTTTGTATATGAAAAAAAACTTTAAAAAAGGCTGAAAAGGCCTCTTAAGTCAACTTGGGATTTATTTGTTGCCTTTGTAAACAAGCAATTGAGCAATTTTGAACTCGATTTTGATTACCTAAGTGATTATCAAGCCAAAGTAATAGATCTAAAAATTTCATATATTCATCTTTTGTTGTGTTTACTATAAATAATATAAAGAGAGCCATAATCCTTCATATAATGTAAAATTACAGCTTCTCTTCAAAAACTTTCTGAGTAGATGCTTTCATGGATAGAACTATTATGTGCTAATAAGCAGAGTACTTTACTGCTGCTAGGAAATCTTCTTCTTCTTTGAGAAATTTTGTTGTGATAATATATCGAATATAAGTTCCCTTTCCTCTATCTTTCAAGCGATTCATGCTTCTGAAATTCGTCTATATTTTTTCTAAAGTTTGTTTGAATTACATATTTTATGGAATATTTGACTAGAAGAGATATCAATCATATGAAGATTCAGAAAATTTAATAACATAACTTTTTTCATATCGTCAGGAAAATTATAAAAACAATATATGAATATAGTCTAGTTCTCAACTAGAATCCGAGATGGCTGGATTTATACCAGACCAAGCGCTGACATTTCAGCAGCAAATTGTTCAAAATTATTTCGGTTAAGTTTTCTGGTGTTACAATAACAACAATCAGTTAGAGCAAAGTTCCCTCACTCTCACCAAAGATTTACAGAATCATGTTATGAAGTTATAAGATATATATTTTATAATACATCTGTCATAAATACCTTCGGGGTTTCTTCTTTCATAGGCATATACTCCGAAATGCCAATTTTGCAGGTACCTATCTATATTTATTGTATATCACACCATTTAACGTCGGTTTGCTAACATATTATCAGCAAAAAAATTTAATTTCGGTTGGAGCGTGCAATAGTATGATTTACATATATATGTATGTATCTCTAAGTGTGTACAAATATCTCGTTGTGGCAATTGATATTACATAAGGTCCATTCAAAAAGTTCCACTATGCTAATATAGGCTTAATTGTGTGTAATTGTCGACGTCGAAATGCTCGTAATGCACATTGATAATATAATTTGCCTTGGTTTTTCGTTGTTGTTGGTGCGTATGCAATTTTATTTTAATTGCTTTCGGCAATTATTGCATTAAAATTTCTCACCAGCTGTCGTGTTGGCCACTCAAAAGTATTTTAAGTGCATAAATTACTGATATGTGTACGTATATATAGATCTAACGGTACAAATTTATTATATGGCTCAAGAAGTTGGCACTTTGTTGTTTGAAATCACTGCTTTCTGCAAGTGCTGTCGTCAGTAATGCAATTCGAAAGCAATTCTTCAATATCCGCCTATTCATGAGTTTGCATTATAGTAAAGTGGTGCTACTGTCTCCAAAGAAAAAATAAATATTGTAAATTCCAGCCAGAGTGGTGAATATCCGTTACTCACGTTCTTGCACTCGATTGCCTTGAAAGTCGCATGTAATTATCGATTGGTAATTATTTGTAATGCATTCTTGTTTAATACGGCAATACTGAATCAAGACGCAATACTGGTGATACGCTTTGGAAATAAAGCGAATACATATATACAAATATATGCATACATACTTACATATTCCAGATACTATAATTATTTACTTGTAAAGAACTAGCTGTAGTAATATGATAATATTATACTTTTATAACATACATAAGTATATACGACACATGCATACGTATGTATGTCTGTATATACATAAGGGAATTTGAATTATAAAAAGTGTAACTTCGGTGAATTTCTTACAGTATAAAAGACCACAGAACAAATCTTACACAATCTGTTGATTATGTTTGTCAATTTGTATGACAGCTATGTATAAGATACAGTGATCCCATCTGAATGCCAAATTTCAAGAAGATATCTTGTCAAATGCTGTGTCAGTTCATACAGCTTAACAATGGTTCGCTAGCTTTCGTTCTGGAAATTCCGAAGTTTCGATTTCACTGATGAAAGTTTTACACTGATAAAGTAATATATCTAGCGGAAAAATCGACCAAAGAAAAAAGATAAGTTGAAGTTTGATTAGAAATACGAAAAACTTTTTCGACTAACCAATATATTGGTTATATCTGACAGCGGATCCGATTCTAAAATACATATGTATGTGCATATGCTTTGTGGAATATCCGGCGTTTCCTTCTAGGTCTTACAAAATTCGTGGTGAACTTAATATACCCTGTACAGGTTATAAATAAATCTACATTTACTTATCTTCACCACCTCAAACTGCCAACTAATTTTGCTTAATTACTTCGTTTTACATACATACATACCTATACTATTTGTTTGTATGGCTGTATATACATAAGTATAACTCTGTGTTCATGTGTTCCAACTACAGTTGCGTTGCTAACTTTGAAACAATTTCCTGTTGGCAAGCGCCGTCAGCTGTTTAATGCCATAATTTACTATAATTATTAAGTGTTGTAACTTATTACTTATATATTTTATAAACTCGACTGTCTTGCCTGTTGTTACACTACAAGCTGTAATATTAGCATTTTTAAATACACATTTATGCAGAGATAATGTTTCCTTGTGCCATATAATACTAACTTCCTCTTTCCTCTCGCTCTTTCACACTTTTATTTGCAGTTCACAACGCCGCGGCACGTCACTACCAGCGCCGATTGGTGTCTTTAAAAAGGTAAATTATAATTATAATATTACATGTAATACAAGCAAAGGGAAGGGAAATATTTTAATTAAAGTTTTGCAAACGATTAATATAAGCTTAGATTTACTCTTACGCTTATTTAATTGAGACTGGTTGGTATTTCCTCTACCTTCAAACGCGAAGTCTGCCTAACCGAATTACTTTGTTTAGTTACACTGGCTACAATACTGTTGTCATTCATTTTAGAAGTTTACGAGAAGAGACTGCATGGTTACTAGACAGATTCTAACTTTATACTTTTACTGGTTAGCCCGGTAAACAATATAAACTCTTTGTGGACATTTGAAAAATGGTCTAAAAAACCGCTCTTATTCAGAGTAAAACTCGTCCTCATAACTTCAAAATGAACATATCAAATACAAGGTATACTAAATGCCTAATTAGTTGTTTCACCAAAAGAGGGCTGTAGGTGTTGAGATTGCCTCGACAAATTTTCGTTATAAAAAATACACAAATACCTCAAACAGTTGCTATTTTTCCCAAATAATGTTTGGGTTTCGGCAACAATTAAGATTAAGACTTCTAAAATACTTATTGCTACTGCGTTAGAAACCAGGCAATACCATATTTTCAAACAGGATATGCTATCTGCTTGAAATGTTATAGGTAAGATCCGAAACAAAGTCATTTGTTTAGAACATTAGAACCCACGGAGCATTTAGGGGTTACAAGGGTTTCATCGGTTAAAAACAAACAACACAAAACAGCCTTTTTTCAATAAACTTTTTCTAAAAAAAATGGAATATTTTTCAGTTTTTACAAAGAAACCCCATTAACAAAGAAATTCTGAAATATTTGGAAAAAATATTTTAAACCCGGCCACTGCGACGCCATTACCGGGGAAACCTCGGAGTAAAAAGCAGCAAGTGAAAAAATACGTGATTTAGTTAAAATCATAACTTAGACCTAGAAAAACAGAAAAATGGATTTTTGGCAGATATTTAAAAAAATGAAAATTTCCGTGAAAATTTCGCATAATTTTTTTCAAGTAGTTACAAAAATACACAAGTTCTCAAGGCTTTATCTCTGAAACTATTACTCGGATCAACTTGCAAATTTAGAAGAATATTCTAGAGTTGTCGTAGCTCTCAATAAGACAATAAATACGTATATTACGTATATATATATGCACGTGTATTAGATGGCCTGTAAGTACCAACAACACATAATCTAGAAAACATATTTTCTATTAATGGATAATGACACTATTTATGCTAACTGAAAGATTTTCATGCATAATTCGAGTCAAGTGTCATAGCCGTCACAACAAAAGGGCGGCATGTAGCGCGACGAGGTCGATATCGGTTTCCATGGATTGGCTCTGGTTGCATAAGCGCTTTGCGCACGCGTACGCATAACAACAAGCAATAAATAAGTAAGTGCGGTAGTATATGGTGGTATAAAGAATGTGCATAATCCACACTTTACAGCTAGATGAGCTATAAATTTTTCCAAGTGCAAAGCCGCAGAACAAATCACCATAAACAAGCGTGAGTGTATAGAATTCTCCAAAAGCATTATGGGTCGTGTCGAAGTTTATGGTAAATATGCATTGCAGGCGGTAGAATGCAGTTTACGCCAACACTTGCAATGATATAATGCACGCACACACACATATATCTGTACACTAATATTATAACACTTGGTGCGGTAAATAATAACGCAAGCGGCACCAAGCGTGCGTTGCAACGGTAATATACCGAAATCAATCAAAATGCAGATGCGTTGGCAGCAGCAGTGGCAACAACAGCAGCGGCGCTGGTTTGCCGCCGTCAAATCAGAAATTGTGTAATGCTAAACTCAGAACGCGGTTATTTCTCGCAGCGATTTGCTAGACCCCTCCTGAGTGTATGCACTTATGTGCACCGTTATGTGGGATTCTCGCATTTGCGTGCCGGATGGAGCATAAAATTCCACAAATTCCACACAATTCGGTTGTGCTCTTCGTGGGCATCATCACTAATGTGGGTGTAGGTAGAAGTATAATACGAGGGTTCATACTCATCACAACACTTTCAAAGAAACACTGCTGTTTACGTTAAAATTTTGTGGTTAAATGAAATGAAAGAACAGTTATAAATTGTGAAAATGTAGGATAGTTTTTAATTTAAAAATCGTTTAGTCTTTTTTCATAGTTCAGAAACCATTTTGTCAGTACATCGAATCAAACCAGAAGCACCTCTTCACTTTTATATCACCCTTAACTAATTTCTTCTAAACTTCCTACAGTTTTACAAAATAAAAATAAATTTCTAAAAGGTTAGAACTTTCTCTGTTGAGATCTTAAATTGAAAGTGTAGAAAATACAGCTTGTGCAAGAACTGAAGCAGCTCGACCTTCCCAAGCAACATCGCTTCACTCTTTGAGCTCTTGAAAAGTTCCAATAATATCCGAGGCAAATTTTGTTCAGCGATGAGGCCCATTTCTGGCTCAATGGGTACGTAAACAAGCGAAATTGCTTCATTTGGGATGAAGAGAAAAGAGATTCAAGAGCTGCCATTTCATCCAAAAAAAAAAAAAAAGAAAAAAAAACAGTCATTGGTTGAGGGCCGGTGGAATCATCGGTCTCTAGATTTCTTCAAAAATGAAGCCGGTGACTGTTACGTCAATGGCGACCGTTATGACGCCATGAAAACCAACTATTTGATGCCTGCGACATTCGATTTCAATAAGGCGGCGCCACTTCCCACACATCGCATCAATTTATGGATTTATTGGAAAAACACTTCGGTGAGCAGATAATATCACGTTTTGATCCGGCCACCAAGATCGTGTGATATCATATCGTTAGATTTTCTGTGTGTTATATAAAGTCTAAGGTCTATGCGGACACCCCCGCTTCGATTCAGGCCTTGGAGCAAAGCATCATGCGTCTCATTCCCATCGACTATCTGAGACGTAGCCGCGGCTAAGTTTTGAAAGAGATAATCTTCAAAAAATAAAATAAATCATTGAATGTTCTTTCAAATGATAATAAAAATTTCCCCATTAAATTTGAAGTTTTTTTTGTTTTCTCTTATTACTTATCTAATTTTGTTCACTTTTTCAATGATTCTGACACCTGTGTTATAAGCATGTATGAATATTCTATATTTCTAGTCATAAACTTTCTGAACATTTTTTTGGATATTATGCTTACGATATTCTGAAATTGATATTGCGGTTTACCTAGTTTGAGTTGCTTGTGATCTTAAGATTAAAAGAAATTCGAATATTTCCAATTTTTGCTTCATTTCTCATGGAGCCTTTGAAAGTTATTAGTTGACACATGACGTAAGCGAATTTTACCAAATCAACATCTTAAACTCGATCCCTCCAATATTTTTGTGATAAGAATTTAGCACAACTAACTTTGGCGAACTTCGTTTGCTCGAAAAATTCATATATCCAATGAGGTTTGAACTGCCTCCGAAGAGCTGATAGATTAAGTGAGCTTTTCATTTGCAGACATATATGTAGAAGCTACGAGTTGTGAAATTTGAAGTTTTAGAGTAAAAACTGGTCGCGGCGAGAACACACGAACTATCTTCGCTAACTACCACTGCCTCTGGTGAAATGATAACTCTGAAACTAGTTAATAGTATGTACTCTTTTCTTGATAGTAAAAAGAATTAGAGATTTATGCGGCCACAGCCAATGAACAAATGGTTAGAAAGTTATAAACTATAAATCAAACAGCATAAACGTCATTATAAATATTTTCACAGAACTGCGACCAATAATTGTTTGAGCTACAGCAACCAAGTCAAGCCAAGAGCCCGCAGAGGTTAATGCAATCACTAGAGGAGCAGAGCAGAGCTCACTTTCGAACGCGACAATTGAAGTCGTTTAAGTGCAGTGACAGAATGAGGGTAAATAATGAACGCCGGCTATACATAATAAACATATAAACAGATAGTTTTTTTTTTTTTGTATATGTGCGCATTTATATATATGTGGCGTGTTGGTTTTAGTGTGTGGATAATTGCAATTTATACTCGTATGTACCACATACAAGCGCTCCCTTGCCGCATATTCTGAATGGTGTGACAATGCAGCCATTATCTGTCACATAAAGCAGATCGCGTAGATCAGAAGCGCGTGGACGTGCGTCTTTGGCGTCAACCAGCATCAACTGCCGCAAATGTGTGTCGTCCAGCACAAATGGAAATATTGAGCGCCCTATACTTATACCATATACGTATTTATATACTGTGTTGTGGTGAATGTGGGGGGAAAAGTAGTGCATCAATGAATATTTTTACTCCGTTACCGTATATATAGGAGTAAATTCAATACTTTCTGCATTTGCGGTCGTTCATCTCCGCAAGATCGCTGATCGTAAATCGTAGATCGCATTGCGGATCTGCACATGTATGTATTCGAATAGTGCATTAATACACTGCTGAAAAGATGGTATGCAGTACGGTGGACGAGGTTAGATTTCTACTAAAACAGTCTCTAAACAAACTCTCCTTGTGGTTCTTTAAAATCGGTGTAATTCTTTTCCTCGGAAGTCGGGTAATTTTTTGAGATGACTCGTTCACCAAACTTGGTTTCAATAAATCCATTATGACATTCGTTGTGTAGCTTATGGCGCCCTCCTGTTGGAACCACATATTGTCCAAGTCTATATCATTCAATTCGGGGATTCATGGAACACGTGTGGATTGCTACCTCTTCAATAACGCATATTTTGACGGAGCCATTCAGCTAGAAATGAGCCTCCTCGATGAAATCCGGATAATTTTCAAGTTGTTGCTCAGCCCAATTCGCGAATATACGACGATTCTGGTGGACAAGCGCTTCAGTTCTTGCGTCAATTTCGCAACAATGTGCGGCTACTACTCTTTATATTACTGGTACAGGAACATTTTGTATTGTGCCTGTGGATTCAAATTTTTCCACTAAACGCTCAATTATTAATCTGACAAAACGATTACGATGACTATAAACGGGACATAGTGCTCTTAAAGTTGAGGCCACTGACT